TTTCCACCCAGTTTCTGAGGCGAAACGATCGATCGATCCTAATACTGGGAAATGGAGAAGTTTCCCTTGACGAGCGATTTAACGAGCATATCATAATCCTTCGTTAAAAGGCGGCCATCATTAAGCCGCGATATTGCATGCGGAATTTTACGGAGTTTCAAACCGCCTTCGTAATTACAGCTCATTTTGTGGTTCCTTCAAAATCATCGATTACGTTGCACAGACCGATTCGAGAATACGTGTAATGACGACCAGCCACTTAAGATGGCTTTACAATTTGTAGTTTAGATAATAAACACGATTGTCATTTATAAAAATTATTTTTTGAAACTGATTTAGAAAAAATATTATACAATATAGTAATAACATAACCTTGTTTGGAATTAATTATTTTCAATTTCAATACGTTATTGTGTCACGTTAGTGGAATGACGAACTAACCTTAATGCTTGACCTAACCTAAATGCATGGAAGTTAGGAAAGTTGAATATTTAAAAAGCAATAGCGGCGCAACTTGTTGCATATTTGTACATACTAAAATACAATTTTGTATAAAAATTGAAATATTAAATAACTAAATTTTACAAATTATTAATGATCTTAAACATATAAATTTATATAGTGAAACAGTTTTTAGATTATCAAGTTGTAAGAACGCTATCGCAGCTCTGTAGGCATCGATATGATTGAAATATTAGAAATTAATGTAAAAAAATATTGAACTAAAAAACTGAAAAATTGTTATGAATTTGATAATAATATCAACGCTAAATGAAAAGAAGTTACAGTCGTCCTCAATATCTAATTGAATAAATTGCATATTATTATGAAAATTATTCTTCAATAAAGTAGATGTGTTTACAATAATCTGTTTTTTTATTTCTCTAAATATTGTTTGTGAAAACTGAATTAATTTAGTTTGAACTAAGGATATTAAATTCATGATGTTTTAAGTAGTCAAGTGCTTTTATACTTATGCACTTTTCTTTTTACGTATTGTAACTTGCCAGATGTTCTTCATATTTTCTTGAACGTACAAGCGTGATTTAAAGGAAAGTTTTTATTGTTCTCGAGATATATTGTATGTTTTAACAGACTTTTTACGTGCACGGTTCAATTTTGAAATACTTTGGGAGAGCCGGAGAAGATTAAAAAGTTTTTAACGTGGAAAAGAAGGTAGAAGTTTTCTTTCCGTTTATGAAAGCGCTGGAAATTATTGAAAAAATGGTGAGGTTTTCATTCGGTTTTTATTGCAATATTGATAAATGAAGTCATAATGCGACGTAGTATTCTAATTAAAATTTTGTAGATTAAAAACTCTCAATCAATAGCATTTTTAAAAATATTTATATATTAAATTTAAATAATATATTATATTTATACCAAATTTATATATTAAATTTAATATATTTATATATTTAAACCGGATGACTTATATTCAAACTTTTTGTACACTGAAACACAGTAATTTATATTTAAAAATAATTATTTACATGTATATTCAAACTAGATGATTTATAAAATCAATTTGCACGTACAGTAAGTACATAACATACATGACACGTAATACCATAAAAAATATTAAAAAATTAAATATTCAAAATAACGTTATTAATTCAGATAATGTTTTAATATTACTGATGTTTCTAATCTGCAAATACATCATAATTGAATATTTCTTTATACACTGCTCAAAAGAAATATGGCATAGAAAAATTTTAGGCAAAAATTAGCCAAATTTGACTAATGATAACTCCGTGAAAAATCATCGCAAAGTTATGCTTTTTTTTTTACTTTCTTTCTTCAATTAAAGCTTGAGATCTTCTTTACTTTAAGACCCTGCAGTTTGATTTCAGATTTGATGTACCCCTACCACAATGACATCGTAAATGTGACGTCGTGTTTGCAATATTGAAAATTACAGAGTTTGACGAAATCCATGGACTTGCCACATTTTTTTTAGTGATACTGTTTACAGAAGCATAAAGTCCAAACCTTCATCTTTAATTTCCAGTATGTGAAAAACCGCTACCATTTTTTTCCGCAAAGGTACAGAAATTTAAAGAAGCCCATCTTCACGTAAAGCTTTCGCGTTAATAATCACGTTAAATTTTTAATTCAAAATATTATTTTATTTTTCCATTCAATTATATTCAATTTTATTCTTTTTAATTTTTAAAGTATAATTTTATTTTATAGTTTATTTGAATTCAGCAATTGCTCAGTTTCAAAATTCTCATTGGTTGAGTCCTTACACGTGTGTGTGTTCTTCCCAAGGAACCAGGTGCAACCGTCATCTCACATTTTGCAAAGGGAATTGTTAATTTTAAATTCATTCAAGTACAGATATTTCGATGTGTTGTTTCCTTTATTCTTCCAACTATTTTATGAATTTTTCGGCAAGTAAATCCAGTAGTTAATTATTTAACTTTGGGATTTCCCTCACTGGATTATAATTTTATTTTGTATTTGAGTAATTGCTTCTCCTTCAAATCTTTGAATTTCGCGTCTCGGATATTTACAATATTCCTGTTCAGTTCATTGTAATTCACATTATATTATATACGCTACCATTCTAATCGCTTCATATTTTATAAAATATAATCTTTTGAATATTTTAATTAGTTTGAATTACATTTCTTTAATTGCCTCCGTCATTTCCTCTAAACATTGCGATCTTGTGAAAGGGCCCGTATGGGACTAGCGTGTCTCCGGATTCACAAAAACATTAAGTCCCGTTAACAATTAATTTTGTTAGGGCAAACAATCTTCGCGGCTTTATACGCGCGCTTTCCGCACGTAACAGTAGTAAATTGTAATATTTTTAAAGAATAAATATTTTAAAAATGACCGCTTATAACATCCATCTATTAATTACATATTATCTCGTCGATATTCAATCGCAGATATTCGCAAATTCCAAATTTCTAAGGTCATTGTTGAGTTTTATACGATTTCAAACGCAATCCACAATTTTCGACGAGATTTTATTTGAGTTTTATCTCGGTTCAGAGGGATTAGAGCAAACACGTTCGACGAAATTTCCCTTTAAGAAATCCCTGCACTGATCTAATCCTTCTCGTGAAAACTACCGGAAACGGAAGAAAGCTCAAGCACATAATAAAAGAGAGGAACCAGTTCGAGGAAAGCTGAATGAAAGAAACGAACGAAATCGTGGCCAGATTTTAACGCAGATTCTTGCGCGGGAAACACGTCGAACAAATAGCCATGCTGGATTTCTTACGTGGTGTTTCTTTGCCGTGGTAATTTACAGCGTTAAATCGGGCTGTTAAATCTTGGCAATTTTTATATTCCGTTTTATTTTGTTCTCTGGACGTTCTCGTAAATCTTGAAGGATACTTCAGTATGTACGAAAAAGGTGTCCAAAAGAATAATTTAATTCTGTGCCCTGTATTTGAAATGACAATGAAAATACTAGACACATTTAAACTTCGTTAAGTTTCATGTGTTTTCACATTAATTACTTTTAATATTTTTCTATTAGACCCCTAAATGGTACAATGAAATTTTGATTGTTCCAATAGATGCAACTCATGTTTTCTTAATGAAAATAATAAGTGGAATTCACAGTACTCTTTATTTTTCTAATTATTTAAAAACTTTTTAATATTTCTGTAAAGCTTTGTGAATCTCATCATGATCAAATATATACTGCATTACTAACAAATTAATTAATTTATTTATTGCATAGGTAAACAAATATAATGTATAACCTTTAATGAATATAAGTAATTATTTAAAAAAATCTCTAAAGTCTATTTATTAGTTGTTTACTATTAACTGTAGTAACGTAGAAACGCTTACTCTTAAATATCTTAAATTAAAAATAAATAGACTTAGGATACTTTCAAAATAAATGACCCAAATATAATATTAATCCTTAAGTGAAAATGAAATTTACATTTATCATTGAATTTTTAAATCAGAAATTTGATTTTTTCAAGTAAGGGTACTATTAATTATGACTCAGCCACAATAAAAATCTTTAAAAGAGGAATATATATTTACTATATTTTACTATATTTTAAATCTATGAACTCGAGTATTATATGTATATGTATACAAATATTTTATAAGCTTTTTTATATCCACATGCAAATTAGTAAGCTTGAAACCCAAATAATCCTGAAAATATGTAAATCTTGCACATATTATGCGCTAAATTTTATATGAAAAAAATGCACGATGAAGATAGAAAATAGCGCTGAACTTTCCTCGTTCTTTAAAATTTATCAATAAATAAATGTAAAGCGAATATCCTATACCACACATTTTATTTAAAACTCTCAATATATTGATCAAAACAAACATTTCATAACTACAATTTTGGAATTAAATATTGATGAACATTGTGCTAACATCAAATTGTAACTTTATGACAGTTATACTTGGATATGCTGCTCTTTCAGTTCAAATTGCTGTAATATTTATATTTGTACTGTGTTCATATTTAACTCCGAGCTTTCGGATTAAAGCAAACCAAAAATATGTGCATACGAAACGTGTACAACCTTATATTAATTAAAATTAGTCAGTCAAATATATTAAGTAAATGATGTAGAATTTAAAAAACAATTTACTAAATGAAATAAAAACTTAATTCCTTGCCCTACATCGTGTCACACTCGCACTCTACAGTCTACATGCGCTAAACCAGGGTCGTATTTTCACCACAGTTGAATTTCGGTTCAATTTTAATTATAATCTTCATAATCAAAGATCGTTGAATACAAAACGTGCCTAACTTTTTAATTTTCCTTATTTGTTTTCACATTGTAGCAATAACTAGTTAACGATGAATAACGCAACTGCTCAAAAAATTGTAGGTTAAGGGGTTAAATTTAAATTTGAGTCGTAAGATCAGCAAACACCAACCGTTTCGACATCGAATAAAAGTCTGTAACATTTAGTTTAACGTAAACGAATAGCAGGAAAATGTTTATAGTGCTGACATAGTTTGGCTTTTTACAATTTTATAGGGTTTGCCACAAACACCAGCTGGCGGAGTCGGTGGAAAAGGAAGCGGAAGTGCTGGCGCCGGTTCTGGTATGGTCAATGGTTCTGGTGCCGATCATCAGGATATTCGTGACGGTGCTGCTATAAACCCAGAACACGTAAGTAATTCGATTTTCACCTAATCCCATCCTGTTGACGTAAATAAGCTCAGTTTAGATTCTCCCCATTATTAGTTCTTTCTTAAGCCAAGGGTTGAAACTTAACTCATTTGCTACCGTAATCCCCAAATGGAGGCTTGAATACATTTTTTTTTCTTACTTGCAATAGGATTGTATTAAATAAAATATACATAATGTGTGTGTTATATGTTAGTTTTCAAAGTTACTTGATCCACCACTTCCTTCATAAAATTTAATTTCTATCTTATTTCTACATTATTTCTAAATTTGCACTAATCAATAAAACTTCCCCCATCACCCCTTCTTTTACACAATTATTTTTTACACTAATTAATTATTATAATAATCATTTTTCTACATTAACTTCTACGAATTAAATAAATGAAAAGAGTAACTATGACCTGTACATAAAGTGATTAATCGGTTGGAAAGATCTTTCATTAGACAGACTCGTTCGATCGTGTCAGAAAATCGTTTTATAGAAATTTCATAGTGCTTTCGAGCGTCGCGTCGCAGCGAAAGGTGATAGCCTCGGAACAGCGAAAAAAGCAACGAGTTCTCGACTGGCCGAGCAAGAACAAATCGTTGCCGTTCCTTCGTCGATGATTGCCGTTACTGTTCTTCGAAACTTCTTTTGAAAGTGTCTCCACGAGGAAAGTTTTCCAGTGAAAGCAACAAAGTGAGTCATTCAGTGCGCCGGCGGGCATTGTTTGCTTTCTTTCATCTTATTTCGCGGCCACCAGCTTCATGTCGGCGAATATCAGACTCTGCGAGAAAATAGAAAGAAAAAGACGACGATGTACGGGAAAATGCTCGTAGAAAATTCTCACAATTACTCAACAGCTGGGGTACTGACTCATAACGATCTCAGGTTGGACACATTGGACAACTTTCGATAACGAGTTTGAGAAGAGAACAATATTGATGCTGTATCGTGCAGTAACTCGAAGTTTCAAATAACATTTCCTCTTTCTTGATAAATATTCACTGAAACATATGTTATAAAAATATTGTATGATTTATTGATCTTGTTATGCAACACTTTCTGAGATTTTCTCAACTTTGTTGATTAGGTAACGTTAGAAACTTTGCATATTACATTCATAATTTTTGTATTTTTCAAACGGTATTCTTATCTATTCAACAAAGAAATAAATAAGTGTAAGAAAGTTACAAATAGAATGGATTCTAAATATTATTTTTGAGAGCCACAAAATGGCGTTCAGTAGTGTGTTATAATGATATGAAAAGAAGATGAAAACAGTTATAGTGAAATTGGAGATGAATTGTGTCTTGGAGAATTATTTTTGAGATTCATATCTATGAAATATCGTTGATAAGCAAGTTAAGTGTATATTTAGGTGCAATGTAAAATTTTCTTCAGTATAAACGTATGTAGCTTCTTCATAAAGGATTTTTTTGAGGTTAAGAAAGGGAACAATTTAACTTGCTAGTGTAATTATGTTTAATTTGTTTTAAATCTACAATAACAACATAAATAAGACTTAAAAGAATTTATAATAAAACTATATGTATATCCACATAGTTTTCCATATCATAAAAATGATATACCGTATTATAACAAACATTATAAAAATATTACAGCGATAGATATTTTATATTAATTAAAATATAACATTATATGTTGATTATCATTTAGAATTTCTTAGACATAGTTTATATTAAAAATAAAATTTATAGCATTGTAAAAATAGCACAAAGTATCATGAAAATAGTGCAACAATGGAAACTGCAAAGTTTGAACATTTTCGACATATCAAAACACATTAGAACATTTGCAACAACAGAAACTAAAAATTTCAAAAATGGATTAAACATTTTGAATAATACAAACACATATTAATAATAATATATACAAAATATTCGAAATATTTTCAACACGATTCATTACAGGATTCCATGGTTTACAACAATTTTCTCGAGGATCAAGGAATTCCACCCAAAGAAAAAGTCCAAAATATTAGCTCGCAGGTACAATGACTTGCTGAAAGTTCTCGTCTCTGGGCTTAGATGAAATATTCAACTGCATCCCCTCTCATTTCCCACTGCCTATATCTCGGTTTTCGATTATAGAATCCATATAACCAACCTGAGAATTGGCGAGAAGGCGAGTTCTTTTTCTGTGGTCTCATGTAAATCGATAGCGGTTCGTCGAAAATCCAAAAATGCTCCGCACCGTTACAGCGAAAAAAGAAATGGGAAAATGAAACATGAAAATAAACTGTCTTTTTGACCGAAAACAACAGGACGAGATGAAATTGTCACATGATGCGCGAAATAAAAAAATAGAATATGAATTTTAATTTTACATTTGGAATTCTGGAACTTTGAAATTTTGCAATTATTACAATTTGCAACTTTATTATTAAAAGTTGGAATATGATTATTTTGAAATTTTTGAACTTCGGAATTTTAGGATTTCTAGAATTTAAAGTTTTCAAATTTTATAATTTAGGGATTTTAGGATTTTGAGGATTTACGATTTCTTAATTTTTTAATTAGAAGCTTTTACGATTTTGAAACTTTGACATTTTTTAATTTTTACATTTTAGGAAATTAGGACTCTGGAATTTTAATATTTTAGAACATTAATCTCTAGAATTTAAAAATGTCATAATTCGTAAATTCTGACACTTGGAAATTTAGAAACTTAGGGTTGAAAATTTGCTAATTTATAAATTTGAAAACTTGGAATTTTCAAGTATTAGAATTTGCAAATGTAGAGATGGAGAAATGTGGAAATATGAAAAATTCAGAATTATGAAGATTTATGAAATATAAGAACTTGTGAATTTAGCATCTTGGTGATTAGAAAATTTAAGGGTTCGAAAACTGGGGACTTGGAAATCTGAAAATTTGCAAAATTAGAAATGTAGGAATTTGAGAAGTTTGTAATTAATAACTTGGGAGATTGGAAGTATAGTAATTTGAAAAGTTAAGAATTTCAAAACCTAGGAGTTTGGAAATTAGAGATTTTTCTTTTAATAGTGGTTTATAGTCGCATCAATTACCTAGGTTATTAGCGACTGTTGACCAGTTTACGGAGATAAGGTTATGGTCGGAAGTGGATGGTTTGACATAACTTTTTCATAGTTAGGTGAGGATTCCTATAGTTTTACAAAATTTTAGTAATGTGTCTTGATACGCTGTTGATGTGGTTGTTTCAGTGAGGTTGTTCTTGATATTTAATCTTCTTCTGGCGTGGTTATATTTTCTGCATTCCAATATTATGTGCCTGATGGTTATGGTAGTGTTGCATGTATCGCACCTTCTGGGGGAACCGTTTTTGAACATCTATGAGTAAGTGAGTTTGGTGTGTTCGGTCCTAATTCGGGTTTCTGCCACTTGATTTCTTCTATTGTGTTTAGGGTTAGTTTTTAAATCGTAGAATTTGTCGAGTTGTTGATGAGTTGAGCTGGCTTTGTATTTTCTCCACGTAGAGTCCCATGACTGCTTTAATAGTGTCGCAATATGATTATTGATGTCCGCAGAGGTGTTTAATATCGTCTGGTTTTCTGTGACTATAGTCGCTGCAATTTTTGCCCAAAGGTCGGCTATGGTGTTTCCGTAAATATCTATGTGGGAAGGAACCCACGCTATGATTACAATTTTGTTATCTTTGATTAGAAACTAGAGAATTGGGAAACGTGAGAGTTTAGAAACCTCTCAGTAGATATTGTAGGTTTTCAAAGTTGTAAGTTTGCAATAGTCTCCTTCTCTCATAAACGTGTATCCCCAAATCCCAAGAACCCCAAATTCTTAACCTATCCAAAAATCATCAAATCCCCAAAAATCCCTAGAAGTAAAAACCGATGGATCTCTTTTTTCTTATCATATATTTTTCCGAAGATTTGCCGTCAAGTGTACGAACAGACGATGCAAAAATTGACGAGGCTTATCGTGCAGACAGTGAACGTTCCGAAACAAACGGATCGATGAGTATTCCATGAGCATCGCTCTCAAACGGGTCCGGCATTTTCTGGCCAAGCCGTTTGAGTCTCGTTTCCGTTGCTGGAAGCCCGACGAAGCAGGCGGAGAAACGCAGATAAAGGTTTTAATTCCGTGCGAATGGATCAACGCGTGAAAATCGAACGAGAAGAGGAAGAGAGAAGGAGATTCGATTGATCGACCGTTTGAAACAATGGTTAACTTCGGAAGTAATCGCTTAATTCCTGGATTTCCCGGCTACGTCCAGACCGATTTCCGATTGAACTGTCTTCCGGGCTTTTTTAATCCTGTTCCCCGAATCGATGGACAGCTTTGCTCGCCACGATCAAATTCAAATCGCGATATTGCAGCGCAAACAACAAACAACTCGCAGATTCGATATATTCCAAGGATTATAGCGAAATGGATGAATTTCAATTGAATTTGGAGAATAGTTTTTAATGGCACGTAGCGGTTGCGACATTTTGTTTTGCTTTCGGACCGTGATCGGTTAGGCAGATCAGGGAATGCAATTTTTAGGACATCTCGATGTTTAAAGTTTGTTATTTAACTTTTTATTGCGACTGTGTACAATGTAGGAATTCCTTGGATAACATAGGCAACTTGAATATTTATCAATTAGCAAATTTCTATATTTTCATATTTCTTGAATTTGCAAATTTACATTTCACAATTTTCAAATTCACAAATTTCTAGATTTTTAATATTCAAATATGCTAATTTTCTTGTACCCAAATGCCCCTTCTACACCTTAAAATTCCTAAATTTGTAAATCTACAAATTCCAAGAAACCCAAATATCTACATCCCAAAATTATACTTTACATACTTCTACGCTCTTAAATTTCCAGCTTTATGCAAATCCCTACATTTCCATATTTGATCCCAAATTTCAAGGAACCTAAATATCAACATCCCCATATTATTGTCTCCAAATATCTAAACCGCCAAATCCTCAGATTCCCGTATTCGTAGAATACCAAGGTTTCTAAGTACCTACATCTCTAAATT